GACTAAAGCGGAGTTTGGCGCTCTGTATACGATTTTAGCGCCTTACGAGTGCGGACACTTTTTAGCGCGAACCCGACGTCCATATAATTGTAAGTCAATGGGGTCAAGTTAAAGCACTTTTATTCAAAGATCCATCAGTTACTTGTTAATTATCGTTGACATCATTTATCCATTAAAATGACGAAGTACTATTTAGATAAGAAGATTGCAATTTGCACATGTTTGTAATGCAGACTCTTTGGTCAGTGGCGTGAGGTAATTTAAATATGGAATGTTTGGAATGGCATAAACGGCACAATCAGATGGCCTGCGAGATCACCAGATCTCACACCTTTAGATTTTTTTTGTGGGGATATGTTAAAAATCAAATTTACCTTAAATCTTATGCGAGTGTAAACGAGTTGAAGGCTGAGGTTCAGAATACGATTTGTAATACAATTCATCACAACACGTTATTAAAAGTTACTCAAAATGAATTCGTTAAAAGATTAATTTATGTATCCAAGAAAATGGAGCTCATTTCGAGCAAGTAATTAGTTAGATTACCATTTTTTTCGTTTTATTAAAATATGTTAAGATTTCATGGTTTTTTTTTTCATTTAATTAACTAATTTTGTGAGAGAGATTTTATTCTTATAATTAACCCTATCGATCGATGCAATAAAAGTGCAGGGTGCATTTTTTTCAGATCAAACCGGGTTCGATTCCCGCGTGCTGCTAGAAATTTTCGAAAATCTATGAATGCAGTTTTATTTCTTTTAAAAAATGAAGGAATGTTTCCTTTAAGCAAAAATTTCTATCTCCAGTATTTAAAGTACTTTCCCTCCAGGTGGCATTACAAATTTCCACCCGGTATAATTTGTAAAATGTATGATTTCGTGTTGGTATACACTCGGTAACCGCTCGGCTTGATTCGGCATCGCTATAAAATACGTGATGCGGAGCAATATCGATATATAGTTTCAATAAGTATACGATTTGTAACGCCCATTCCTAAGTTATAGACGTCATCTTTAAGGCTAAATTCTGTTCTAAGTATTATTAATTTATACCTGATTGAAAGTGATATTTTATTGAAATTAACTACTGGTCGATGTACTAAATTGATGTTATGGACGCACTATTTTGTTAAGAAAAATTTAAAAGAGTTAATTTTATTTACTGTAATAGCTATTGCGTGCCGAACTTTTGCTGTGTGCAGCCTTACTTTATACCTTTTAAACAAGTATAGATATTTTGTATAGTATGTTTTCATCTGCAGTTGTAATCTTAAGCACTTCAATGTGCAACTCTCTCTGTTTAATCTGATATTTTATATCAGAAAGAACTGCTGATCGGATTCTTCTAAAATTGTGTTCATATCGCCGTAACTAGAATTAGGCAAATTATTCAAAGTCTATTATTTTAGATTTAGCACTTTACACCTTAGCTGGAGATCGTGTCAAACTCGTAACAATATATTATCTATAGATTATTAGAAATGCATTCATAATATATGTATATTGTATGTAAAGTTATTATTATTATTATTACAGTAAATCGACTATTAGAGTAAGTTTTGCTTTTGAAAGCTGAGTAAGATGGTGTCTTAGGGCAGGTTCTTATGACAGGCATTTGGGCCGGTTCAGATGAGAAGCATTCGGGTAGGTTCAGATAACAAGCATTAGAGTCGGTTCAGATGACAAGCATTCGGACCGGTTTCAGATGACAAGCATTAGAACCGGTTCAGATGACAAGCATTCGGGCAGGTTCAGATGATAAGCATTAGAGTCGGTTCAGATGATAAGCATTCGGGCCTGTTTTTGACAATTATTAGAACCAGTTTAGATGACAAGCATTAGGGCCGGTCCAGATGAAGAGCGTTTTGCTAGCGAGTGCTTAACGCTTGTAATATAAATCGGCTACAACAAAAACGTCAAATGTGTTAGTATGATGTAGGCGAAATGTGGACTGGAGATTGTTAAATTATAAACATTAATACACACATCAACACTGTCTAGGGATATTTCACGTTTATTAGAAAAAAAACAAACCTAAAAGTACTGATCATATCAAAAAGATTTAAACGTCAATTTGTTCCTGGCACATTATTTCTGTATTCTAAATTCAAATTTAAAACAAAAGAACGACGGATGCGATAGTATTTTGTTAACATTGTTACGATCGTTTGTTTTCCTCGGTGTCTTAAAGATGAAATTGTTTTTAAACGGAATTATTTATTTTTTTACAATTTTATTAACTGCATTATTAATGGTGGTTGTTTCTATACTATGGAACGCCGACATTTAACTAAAGATATTCAGATCCAGTGCAATGTTGCTGATGTTATTGGCACCAGTCAAAGCGTCATATCAAGATTATGATCTCGCTACCGAGACACTGGCGATGTGCTTGAGCGGCTCATAGGAAATAGCCGGGTGACTACCGCAAGACAAGACCGATTTTTACAAATTACAGCAAAGAGACAACCTAACGTTCCGGCTAGGCAATTGGTTTTAAAGCTTCAATCGGAACACCAGGTCCTAGTGAGAAACCAAACTGTGTGGAGGAGTGCACGAAGTGAACCTACATGCTTGTAGACCACTTCAGGTTCCAGCACTGTGACGAGGCAATCGCGGTCGAAGATTACAGTGGGCAACTGGACATTTGGCTTGGAACAATCGACAATGGTCTAGGGTGTTATTCTCGGACGAATTCCGGTTCGGCTTCCATCCAGATACACGAAGAATACGCGTTTGGCGAACACCTGGACGTACGAGTCGCCTGCGAAATCCCCAGGAAATCCATCCATATCAAGGTGGAACAAATTATGGTATGGGCAGTAAATACGCCTAGGAGGGAGAACTGACCTCATTTGCGTGCAGGGCAATTTAACTGCCGCAAAATATCGTAATGAGGTGCTGGAACCTGTAGTCCAACCACATCGGTTGGAAATGGGTCAGGACTTTATGCTTATGCATGATAATGTTCGTCTTCACGCAGCTCGAATAGTAAGACACTGGACTGGCCTGCCCAGTCCCGGATTTAAATCCGATTGAGCACGCGTGTGACGTGCCTCAACGAAGGGCTTTACGAAATTTTCCCGAAAATCTGGTGACAGAAAATCAACTTTGTATGCATCTTCGTCGAACCTGGGGCCTTATCCCACAAGGAGACATTGATAATCATTTTGAGTATGCACAATCGTTGCAGATGCGTTATAAACATCCGAGGTGCTTTTACAGATTATTAAATATTTATTTTGTGTTGTTTCATTTAATTTTGTTTTTCTCTTTAATAACCAAAAACAGAAGTTCTTATTTTAGTACAAAGTTAACTTTTGTATTTTTACCATAAAAGTCATTAAAAATAAATATAAAAAGATTTTTTTATCAAATTTTCAGTCAGGTTATAAAATACTGCGCATTTTGATACATGAACGTTTCATGAAGTTTTTTGTAGTTTCTTTGCAATCCATGAAAAACTAAAATATCCCTAGACAGTATTTTTGTGTATTATATTATATGTATTCTAATTAGGTATTTACACTTGACCATTTACTTCTGAACATTAAAATAGGGGGGCGCATATAAAATAGGTGTAATAAATTTTATTTGTAAATGGCGAGACTTTACGTATTTCACTGGAAGCCCATAGTAGAACAGAAAAGTTCATGTTTTCGAATAAGGTAATAAATTTTGGAACAGAATGTTGGAAAATACTGGGCCAGTGCAAATCGGCGGACGGCGAAGAGGATCTTTTGCCCGCTGCCGCACACTGATGAGGAATAGGTATCCTTTACTGGAATGCCACCGTTCGCTCGGATTTGAATCCCTTTTACTAGCGACTATGCAGTCGAAAGAATTCCTCTGGCGTGCTCTTCTATAGCGTAGAGAGAAAGGCGCTGCGATGTTCCGAGGTTGGTCTCAGAACATTGAAGGTGAACCAGACGGGTGGTCCACAGGCAAGAAACAAAATTTGTATACATATTACACATGTTAATTGAATTTGCATTAAATATCATCAACCCATTTATACACGCCACTGCTGCGCACGGGTCTCGTCTCAGGCGAGGGATTAATGCGGGTTGGGGATTTCACACGTTTTCCGAAGGTGATGAACCTTCTTCGACTATTTTTTTATAATATCTAGGTGTCCATAGCAGTTGCATTAGCACTCAAGAGTTTTAAATCACAAAGATCTGAGGGGCGCTGCCATTGCGCCCGACATCCTGAGACATAAGTTGACAAGTCCCATGTGCCTGTAATTTCACCAGGAAAAGGTGCGTGCAGGGTTGACGACCATGTTTTTTTCATCGAAAAGCTCATGGCAAATTTCAGATTAAATTTCGCACATAAATTCTGAGAAATTCAGAGGTGCGAGCCCCAATTAGACCCCACGACCTATGTTTGAGGCGGTAGTTCAAACAATTAGCCTACCACAGCCCATTAAATATATTTATAAATGTAATGTCCTTTGCTGTCGTCTTGCGCTGGCCCTTAACCAACTTCAAAAAAGGAGAAGGTTCTCAATTCGACTGTATTTTTTTGTATGTATGTTACGCGATAACTCCGGTATTTGTGAACCGATTTTCATGATTCTTTTTTTCTTGGAAAGGGGGTACTTCCATAGTGGTCCCATTTAATTTTGAAGAAAATCATCCACCTCTAAGGGTAGCTGTTCAGTGTTCACGCATGAAGATTCATTTTTATAATTAGCGCCTAATTTTACTTAAGGAGCAATTATTTTAAAGGTTGATTTTGCTATTTCTCCAATTCAAGGCGTTTTTCTCTCTGAGTAGTGAGAACTGATTTTTATTAAGGATATTTCAATGAAACTTAGCAAATAGACGTAATTCCACGTACTTTAGTATTCTGTACTGAGATTATTTGTATGTATGTTACGCGATAATTTTGTGAGCCGATTTTGATGTATCTTTTTTGTTGGAAAGAGGGTACCTCAGTATTGGTCCCATTTAAGGTTGAAGAAAATATTCCACCTCTAAGGGTGGCAAATTAAGGGATGATTCCGGTTTCGTGAACAGATTTAAATAAAACTTGGCAAATAGATGTAATTCCACGAATTGAGGCCGGTTTTTCAGTACTCTGTACTGTGATTATTTGTAACATATACCTCCTTAATATTACATAATACATTTTATGCTGTTTCTGAAACGGAATTTTCATAAAACCTAGTGTAAAATCGATAATTGGAAAACACGCTATTTGAGTTATTGTAGTTAACAAACTCAGTAACAGCAATTTAATGAGCAAAGGAGTTTCTCTGATAAGAAAAGCGTACAAACATGAAAAAACAATACCATAAATTAATAAATACGACGAATTAAAAATGAATCGAACAGATAGATACAACAGAAATCTGAAGATATATTGACAAGTTTTGTGGGAACAGTGGAATTAGTATTGAAGTTTACATAAAAAATCTACTTTATCTGCTTGGGACGAACTGAAGAAGAACTTACAACATGCACTAGTTTAGGCATGTAATTTCCGTTTAGTACATGGCCTACAATTTTATAGTCAATAGTGCATCTATTGTATTAACATGTGTAAGTATGTAAACCGGAGTCTTATGAGAAAGATGGCATTCAAAAGACCATTAAATATAAATTGCAAGTTCAACATCTTTAGATAAATTTTCAATAGTATTTTCATAAATTATTTGAAATACATTCATCAAACTTATGCACAGTCAACAGCACATCAATTTATACACTTTTGTTCAATTGTCGCCTCCAGTGCAACGGAACAAGATCCGTCAATGTGTAGCTTGATGTGTTGCCGTCTGTACATTATAAAATAATGGTATAGCATATCCCTTACGTGATAGAAAAATGCAATTCATATAGTTCATTTCAATTTTTAATAAAAATGTAAATAAACGTACTATAATGAAACAAATCAACTGTAATTCAGTCAATTTGTAAAAATAGTAAATTACATCCATTTGTCTTGTAAGGGATGTAATTTACTATTTACTATATGCAGATCGAGACGGCAGATATGGCAATTATTCTGAGAGCTGCAGAATCTGTTAAAACTGACCTACTTGGAAAGACAAAGTATTATAACCTATACACAATTTTTTTCGTGTGTGTATAATGAACCTGTATTATCCTGCCATTTGCGAATTAAATGTGTATTACGTTGACCTAACTAATTTATAACATACTTTCTATTGTAGATAGACTACATTTTTAAAGCTATTAACTATGAAATACAATGATTAAAAACAAGCTTAATTAATGGCTTCTTTATATTCTAATGTCAAACAAAAATATCTCACGTTTTCATTTTGAGTGGATTATTATGGGTAAACTTAAAATTACAATTACGTAATTTTGAAAGTAATTCCATGACAGGTATTTGTCAACCCTCAATAATAAAGTGACTGATAACCTAAAGAAAAAAAATTACTTACAAAATAAAATTAACCTAACAATGCCAAATCCTCTTGCTATATTTAGCCTAATCTTGATATAAGTAATGTGATGATGGACTAGTGCAATATAGTGTAAAGACGCACATAACAAATCTGTATAAATATGTATACCAATTACATGAAATCAGACATCTACTAATCAATCACACATTCTACCATATACCATCACAGCAAAAGTAATGTATCATTTTTTATATCAAATACAATTTGGAATACATTTGGCACAAACCAGAGTACACATACGGCTGGTGCAATGTGTGTTTTAAAAACTACATTTCAATTTTCATCACTTTATTACTTGAGAGTACCTTAATACCCTAGAGTACCCTAATCAGATTGAGCCAGTTAGGAAAAGTGTCACGTTCATGCAATAAGAGCGCAAAAGACAGCACATTGCCATTCCACTCAGACTGCTACTGCAAACTGCAAAAAGACTTTTTTCTGTTTCATGAACGTAATACTTTTTTCTGATCACCTTAATGCAATTCCGAGTCAATAAGTGTGGCCACTCCCAAAAAAAATCAATCAACTGTTTTTACCTAATTTAAGTCGTCCAATGTACAAATGTATGATGAACTAGAATAATAACTATACATGACAATTGGACATAGTTATGCAAACAAGAACCAACCCACACCTCGAGTGAAACTAAAAGTCCTTCAGAGTACCAACCCTAAATAAGTAACTTTTTAATAGCTAAAAAGAACCATGCTGCTTAACTTCACAAAACATATTTTTTTAAATATGTTAAATGAATCCATGTCACATGCACCGAAGTAGTGTATCTTAGCATTTTCATTACGAAAACTAGAACATGGTTCTTGTTAACTAAATAAAGTTTACTATTTAATATATAATATTTTCTATTTATTGCTATATAATATAATAGTTTCTCTATATCATTCTCAATACTACACATAACTCACGTTGTTTGTCTCGAATAACTTGCCTATTGATTTCTTCACACGATTTTTACAAAAATCAAATTATCTCGAAAGTGACATTTTGTGGGTTGGTTCTAGTTTGCATAACTATGTCCAATTATAACAACAATGTAAAAAATGCAAGTTGTTCAATACACCTGCGACATAATCAATTCAAATAACTAATTTGTATTACTGCAGTTGAGGATCAAAATTTTCATTGTTATCATTAATATTATTCTCATTTATATTATTCTCGTTTATATTATTATTATTATCGTCATTCATATTCATTTCTTCCATTTCCTCTTTTGCATTATTTTCTAAAATTGGCTCGTTAATTGGAATATTTGAAATTACTGGACTAATTTTAGGAGATGCGGAGGCGACAGGAGGTGTAACTTTAGATGATACAATATTTATGGCACTTTTGGTAGCTAAAGCGAGTTTAAGTTTCTCATTTTCTTTCTCTAAATCCTTTATTTTCAGTTTCTGCTCCTCTAATTGGCTTGTAAGTGTCTCTTTATCCAATTGCAACGATTCAAACAACTCTTTCTTAGACTGTTGTAGATTTTTGAATGATTGGAGTTCTACTTTGCATAGTTCTACATCCACAAGTGTTCTGTTTGCTTGGGACTCGGCTTTAGCGGCTTTGTCCCTGCTTTGTTTATTGTCATCACTGAGTTTAGCAATCATCTTTTCTTTATCTCTTAATATTACTTGGTGTCGTTCGTTGAGCTGTTGTTCAGTGAGGAATTGTTCCATACATCCTGTGTGCTGCTTAGTACAATCCTGTAGTTGTGAACTTAGCTCGCCAATTCGATACCGCAAATCACTTTCCAGGCCCCAGCTGTTAAAAAGTTGTAATGCCAGTAGAATGCTTATGGCAAAAAAAACATATATCGGCCAACGACGCATGTTCTCTATACCCATATTAGGTAATATTGTTGTTATATTGTCGGGATTAATAATTACAGTACTAATAATATTTCAATATTTTCTTGCCACGACGTGCCGTCACTTCAATTTGGAAAATAAAAATAATTGTCGTTTCTTCAATTCTTTCCGTAGAGGAAAAGGCAAAGGTTTCACACCATACAGCCAAGTCTTGGTAAATTTTTCTTCTATAAAAATAATTTGACATTGACATTTCGATTTTCGGTATGATTTTTTTTAAGAGTTTTGGCTTGGATATAAGATTTTGATTCATGACTTCGTTTAATTATCGGTATTCTCCATTGTGGTTCTACCATATTATGTTTTCACTTTCTCTATAACTTACTTCTCTTCTTTGGGCTTTCTAAATAGTCTTTTAAGCGGCGGGAGTTAATATTTGTTTTCACATTCACTCATATCACATAAATATCACTGAATAAAAATTTCGAATTCGTAATTGGATGTAGCTATAATAAAAAGATCCAAATCACACTTCGGGCGAAAATGAGTTAGTATACCACGTGATTCACCGTATTCTTTCATGCCAGAAAGTCTTGTCTCGATATCTCTAATATTGGCGAAATTATAAATATATAGTAGCATTTTGAAATAAACGCAATTTTCCCAGAAATATTTTTAATGAACGATCCAGGTGTCCTGGACTCTCATGCAACAACACATGACATGATCCACTTGAGTATGAATCGTTCTTAAAAATACTAAGCTATGAAATATGATGGCTAATAAGATTCAAATAAACTTGAATCATTTTGTTTTTATTGTTTCTTTTTTAACACAAATGTACCAAAGTAACTTGTATTGTGTGATTATTTTTTAAATAGGGACAGAATGTTCCACTTACGTTTAACATAAATTACTTGGATCACATGGGCTATTTTTTACGGCAAAGGCAAACTATCCATTCGACTTTGGATCATTTTTACTAAACGTTGGTTACTTAAAAAATGTAGGATTTCAAAATAGCCTTTCAAATTTTAAAAGTCACCTTCCTAATTTTCATAGTACTGCCCGACATCATTTGGTATTAAATTTAACATAGACCAGCCCCCGTTGCATGCCTCCGCGATAAAGCTATTATACCCACATTTAGCTGTCTATTTGAGTAATAAACCGCCACTTTGAAAATTTATCACAATAACAAACGTATCAAGCAAAGTGACGTCACATTTTTGATGCACCGCGGGCCCATGTTTTCTTTACTCATGTGCCGCGTGTGCCGCGACCAATGGCCGTGAAAGTATAACGCAATGCCAAATATGGCTATGGCAAGATCACATTTGAGTTTAAAACATTTTGGCAGCTCTGCACGGTAATTTTATCAACGTAACATTTGAGCGTCACAAACGAAAACAAAAACAGGTTGTTACGTATTAACTGTTGGAAAAGGTGAGGAGAAATCGACTGCGATAAATATGGCACGGGGAGGTTTGTCATTATCGCATGCGATATACCGCCATGCTACGCATGATGTAATGATAATAGACTAAGCTCAATGAAGCTTAACCTCAGTTATCGCCTGGCCATAGTGACGTTAAACTATCCATTGTTATGTCAATATGAGGAACGACCGCTCCCTCTCGCTTACCTCTCATCGTTTTCTATCATGTAAATGAAATATTTTTCATCTTTTTTCAGAAAAATTTCTTTTGTAGCAAGACAATTTACTTTTTCTTATTTTTGAACACTTTTCGATTAATTATACCCTTTTTCTGTGTGTACAGTTCCCAAGAACCTATCTGATTTCATTCGCATAACTTTTAAAAGGTTTGCTTTCTTACATGTCTTTATAATAACCATATATTCTTCGATACTGTAAAGACGTTGCACGTGTTTCAAGGCGTGTTAAATTTTTCAAAAATCTGTATCATTGGGCAAAAATTTAGTTCCAGGTTCCATATAGCGACAGCGAATCTTTTTTAAGGTCGGATTGGTTTCAGAGCCAGCTTTTAGCATCAATACTAATTTAATGTTGCTACTTTGGCCTCGTGAATCACTCCATAGTGTTAGCTCTTCGGTGCCCACCGCCTATTCGTTATAATGTGCCACAACAGACACGAGTCAACTTCTTTTAAATACAATAACCTGTGTCATTAGAAATCACGTGAAATACTTTTACAATTCAGAACCAAGTGCTTTGATCCTGCCGAATAATTCTATATAAGCGTATTGCTAATAATGTGGGGGAAGCGCGTTGTTGAAAAAAAATATCGATATCGTTCATCATAATAACCATCAAACTTTCGATTGATCAGATTAGGGTATATTAATAAATGTCACCAAAGTAAAAATCTCACGTTAATCCAATCCCCGCAAAATCCCTGCTACTTGGGAAATTCCCTATAAGTTAGCAACTCTGTCCAAGGACGCGACCATCAGGGGTGGTCAGCTTTCTAAGCGGCCAATGCCAACAATGGCAGGATTTGCAAAAAAAGAATAGTGCTCTGCGAAAGAATGAGATAGTCGGATTCATAAATTTACGAGCACGATTAAATAGTTATCTACCATTTTGGTACATTTTATTACTTGACGAATACAGTTTTTTTTCAATTATTTGTATCATAGAAACCATGGTGTTCTAATATGAACACTATGATTTCTGTAATATTGTCTTTGTTGAAGATTCTAATTTTCACCTAATTTTAGACAAATGAACCTTATGTTGACAATTATCACAACCAAATTTTGGTAGAACTTATGTTTCTGCGTGATGGCAACTTCTTCACAGTTGTCAGAGTTTTCAAATCAAGATGGCTACCATGAAAACTTGTGTGAGAAATTCTTTTTCATAAACTACTAATACCAGTTCTTTTCTCTGCATTTAGCAGCAGTTTTTGTGTATTTGCCGGTTTGTTATCGATTTTCTGTTATCGATTTTCTGAATTGCGAGATAGAGACTCGTGTGCGAAATTGACGCTTTTTGTTTTGTGAATTCGATAATTACGAGAGAAAGACTTCTGTGCGAAATTGACGCTTTTTGTGTTGTGAAACCTTACATTACGAGATAGAGACTCATTCTTTTTGCGCGATACTGACGCTTTTATGTTGTTTTTCCACCATGACTGGAAAAGGGATTGTTAAGTGCGCAAAATGCGGTATAACCTCAAAGGAAAATTCTTCTTTGACCTTTCACAGGTTTCCTCTAAAAGAACCCAAACTTCGTTTTTGCTCCAGCATTGACCCAGCAACACCTTCAGCCGAAGGGCAAACAAAAGATGAAAGTTCGACTAGCTGCTCAAGTTTTGAGTCATTCCATTGCAGCAGGATTATTTGCCAAAGTAGCCCAAAGTAAGTTTCAACATAATATGTCTATTATGTACTGCCATCTTTCAAGCCTCTTTTCCCGACTGTCAAGACTTATAAAGAGGATCATGTTTTTCTCACGAGCTTGTGAATATGACTCATCCATTTTTTTATGTTGCTTTATAGAGACTAAACAAGTAAACTGATTTTGACAAAAGACTATTAGGCATTTGATTCGTCGTAACAACGGTTTGTTCTAGTGTTACTACCAATATTAACGTTTTGTTGTGGAAAATTACAAAAATGCCAAACGGCGCCACTAATACCCATACTCATTTAAATATAATAAGTCTAGAGTGTCATGTCATGTTAGATGAAATTCCTTTTAACATAAAAAGTTTATTGTTTACTTTCAGACGAATTGCCACAAGACGCCGTGTGGACCGCGACGCTTATATCCAATATGGACAAATTATTTGACGCCATGAATGGTGACACGCCGGACAGAAAAAGGGGAAAAAAATACCTAACCAACATGTCCTCAACTAGCCCTCATTTACATTTTTTTAATAAAATGAAAGTATTTTTCACAGAAATGGAGTTTTTAGGGGCAAGAAGTAAGCCCCCATCACAAGATGGCTGGTTGAGGACGATGAACGCAATTGAGCGAATATTTAAAAACTTAAAAAAGTATAATATAAACACATTATGTGTCCGAAGGCTCAGTCAAGATCCTCTCGAAAACTGTTTCGGGTGCATTCGAAGCAACTGTGGTTGTAATCCGAACCCCAATTCAGTTCAATTTATTGCAGCATTAAAAACTAGCATAATAACAAATTTAATTAATAATAATAAAAACAGAAACTGCCTGGATGACAATAATGATATATTGGATAATCTTAAAGTGTTTCTTCATAAAGGTTGTAACCAAAAAATAAATGATGTAGACGGTTCTACACCTTTTCCAGCGCAAATTTCTGTTGAAGGTGTAGAAGAGTTAGATGTACCTCAGATTTCTGGAGAAATGCAAGCATGTGCATTTATGTGTGCGGCTTTATCGCAAGAAACATAACTATTAATTGCGAGCAATGTAAAAAAATTATGCTTGCTGATCTGAACACTGAGGTATGTCATTTATTTACATCATTTAAGGAATACGATGACGTAGCATGCAGTTTAAAATACATCCAGCCCAGTTTCTGTGAAATGGTTGAAAATGCTGCAAGATTAATAAACAATTATTTAAAAGAAAATTCACATAATGAAAAAATTAAATATAATTTATTAAAAAAATGCGATAATTTAAATAAAGATTGGCTGAAGGGGTGTGACGAACATTGTGAAATAAATTTTAAAAGAATAATTGATAGTACAGTTGTAATATGTCTGAAACGGTTTTGTACTGTCAAAAATCGAGAATTTGTTGAGGAAGCCTCAAAAAAATCGATGTTAAGAAAAATTAATATACTAAACATGTTTAAAAAGGTTGTATTATTTCACATTACTTAAAAATTCCTGACATGAAGAATTTTCGTTTGATGTTTTTGTACAATATTATTTAATTTTTTATAATTGTGGCGAAACAGGACACGAAAATTCTATAACTTGATCGATACCGAAAATTGCAATTGTATGCGTAATTGACAATTATTTAAATGGTACATTCAACATTTACATTTAATTTACAAATGTACTCATTTAAATAATTGTCAATTACGCATACAATTGCAATTTTCGGTATCGAAATATAAAAACACATGAAAACACTATTCAAATCTCCCGCGTTTTCAAAAGTTACCGATGGCACGAACGGTGGCGTTTCAAGTAAGCATTTTTATTGTATGAAGCTATCGTTCTTCCCTTTAGGGTAATATTGTTCTGTGGCGACCATGCACAGACATGTCTAGAGATGGGAAAAACTGCTTATTTTTTTAAACGTTTAAACGTTAAGCTTTTTTAAAAAAAGCGTGCTTTTTTAAACGCTTTTTCACTTAAACGCTTTTTAGTTTGAAGCGAACAAAATCGTTTAGAAAGCGCGTAGACTTTTACGTTAAAAAAGCTTGCAACGTTGTGTTTATAGCGAAAAGCAAAAGTAGACCACTAAAGGTTTTAAGATAAGTAAGTTTTTTGTAAAAAACTTTTATTTTTATATTTTTATTTATGACAACTATTTAAAAATATTAGTATATATGTATATAAAAAAAACTGGAAAATACTGCTTATTTTTTTAACGTTAAAACGTACGTTTAAAAAGCGTGCTAAAAGAGGAAAGAAGACAAAAAGGAAAACGTTTTAAGCGCACAGACCAACGCTTACGCTTAAAATGAAAAGCGTGCTTATGTGCTTATTTTAAAAAGCAGACTTTTTTAAGTGCTTTTCGTTTAAACGCCCACTTCTAGACATGTCTGTGGACGCGATCTTGCCCGGTCGACTGTCGCTCGCCGAAGGTCGTCAGATGACTCATTATTTATATTTACACCGGATCGATTGCTGCTAATAAATGAGCCCTAAGGTAGTCGGACACGCTGTTAGTCGATTCGTAATTTTTTTAGCTAAAAATAATTCTACAGGCCTCATGAACGTTCAGAAAGGAATCAAGGACAATAAATTCGTTTCAGAGATTTTTTTACAGAATTGGCACCCCTGATCCCATCCAAATTGGTCACGTGACCGCTCTATGTACCATAGACAGTAATCCTTCATCGACTTCTTTGGTTTATAGCCACGAGGTTTTTAGCAATATTTCTATTTTATAGTGAAATAATAAAAAGATACTTCATTTTCTTGGAACAAAATGCCACCCAGTAATCCTTTGCCACCTAAAGAAAATGCCCTTTTCAAAAGAATTTTGGTAAGTGTCATTGTAAACATAGAATTTGATTTTCTGCAGATTGTCATTGTAGGTGATTATCTCGAATTATAAAATAATGCATTTTATGACAGTACTGTTATTATATTCTTTAAACAATAATTGCTGTGTGTTATCATTCATGCAGAACGTTGACTTTATAATATCTTTGCAATTTTGAAATAATGATACCTATTCATAGGTCTGCGAACTAGCCCTTTTGGCTTGCATTCAATAGAGATCAGAGGTTAAAATGTATGATTTTTCTTTTCAGCGTTGTTACGAACATAAACAATACAAAAATGGACTTAAATTTGCAAAACAAATATTGTCTAACCCTAAATTTGCCGAGCATGGTGGTAAGATATAAAAAGTCGCACATTCCTACTTAAAATATTAAATCTGCAACTTGCACCGTTGTAATAATTATATTTGAAGATGTACTCCATAATCTATGCCTTGTTATACTAGTAAGAGAATGGCTTTGTAACATGTAACTGTAGTTCTAAAAATATTCTTTATAAATTTTACTAAAGAACTGTTAATTTTTCACATACACCTATTGCCTTTATTATCAATTCATCACATACCTTAGGAACATGTCTGCTATTACATTAAGAACATAACTTTAAACTCATGTGAGATCTTGCCTCTTACTACTATTGATAGAGTAGAATAATCCATGGGGATTGATATCACAAGGCTGACATTGACACCCAACAGTTACAGGTCTTATTAAAAATAAGATAAACAAAATATTTTAATTGTGTAAAAAAATCACATTGTATTGTCTTAAATTATTACAATTTGGTGTACCACTCGTGGGTTAGATGATTACACCAAGGAAGTCGCATATATCACAGTTAAATAAAAAAAAAAAAAAAAAAAACTGATTAAACACTATCTTATATTGTGGTAATGTATATTTTAAAATGTTAGATGTAAATGACACACATTTGGAATGTAAAATGTAGTGGTTATGAAGTAATAAATATTTATTATTATTGTTATGATTCCTCAGATGCTATCATCATTACTTTTCATTGCTTTGTTCGTCCAATTTATTCTGGCTATGATTATTATAATGAGGACGTAAAACAATACACAGATGATCAGTACATCGGTTAGATTGTTTTACCTACTTTCCTTTAAGAAACTGTGTCATTAGTTATTATACTTCTTATTTTAAACAACTTTTTTGTATTCCAATAAAACCAAATTCATTTCAGAAACATTGGCTATGAAAGGACTTACACTGAATTGTTTGGGACGTAAAGATGAAGCATATGAGTATGTACGTCGTGGCCTCCGTAACGACTTGAAGTCCCCAGTTTGTTGGCACGTATATGGTCTTCTACAGCGGTCCGACAAGAAATATGATGAGGCCATTAAATGCTACCGCAATGCTCTCAAGTGGGAGAAGGAAAATATACAAATTTTGAGAGACTTATCTTTGCTCCAAATTCAGATGAGAGACTTGGAAGGATATAAAGTAAGTTCAAATTGATCTACGTGACATAATCAATGTACCATTCTTACATCATTATTGCCAATGTAGTTATCTCTGATTTACTCACAATGGATCTTGGTGAGCGAGTACTGCAGCCAATAAGTGGTGCTGTGAGTACTGCATTGTACATTGTGCTTTGTGGTGCTACATCACACTGGCTAGTGGTGCTACATTGTATTCCTTTTATATCTTCAATTCTTAATTTAATTTTTTCATATTTTGATTGTTGTTTATACATGGTACATTTCGCACTATTAATACAATAGTGTATTAACTCAACAAGTGTATTATTTCACAATCGATGAAAAACAAGTACTCATTTCCCATGAAAGATTGTTAAAATTTCTCTCATGATCAGTAAACTTTATTACTGACATCTAAACAATTTCCTACTGGCCCAATGTTTTTAGAAATAAAAAGGGAGAAATAATTTCATATTTTTAGTAAGGACTGTATGTTTTGGTCAGAACTAGCTCACATAAAGTTTGTCTCATTTTGAGTTAAGTAGATATCTTTTAATTATTTACAATATTCTATCAACTGTTTTATTGACAAGTATATTAGAATAAAATTTTGATTTCAGCAATGATTTAATCCTGAAATTCACATTTTTACTTACAACACTATTGCAATATTAGTGTGATTTGTTAATTAACACTAATGATATGTGACTTGAGAAATTGCCCCTCTACTCTCTAACTGCCTTATGTCATATTTAGTTTCTCTACTTATACTACTTATCTACGTCCACTTTTTCATATTTAGAATATAACTCATTGATTGAACAAGATAGACATGCAGTACAGATCAATGTACGAAATACTGAACTGGAAATAAATCAATACTAAAATTTTGGTCAAAATGTAATGGCCTTTCATTGAATAAGTAGTGTTAAAACTCTGCATCCTGCATGAGATGCCATTTACTATTTAACACAAAAAATTGTGAAATTGAGTGCACTAGTAATTGGATTTTCTCTTCAATGTGTTGTGTATGTAAACACTTTATTGGACAATAAAACAAATTACCACCTTTAACAGCGAACTAGTGTACAAAGGTGAGCTTATCCCATTAAGGGATTTCTTCCAACTAACCATTCTTAATTAACTTTGTGGGGGTTATTGATTTCTAAGTTATCTATTTAATGTATTTCATGTTTATATTTTGTACTTATACATAAAACTTTTTATGAAATAAATATTTTCTGTTTTTCAGGATACCCGTTACCAACTGTTTATGTTAAGGCCGACACAAAGAGCGTCATGGATCGGTTTCGCCATGAGTTACCACCTCTTAGGGGACTTTGAAATGGCCAATAGTATTCTAGATACTTTCCGTTTGAATCAAATGAAGGGACCGTATGATTATGAGCATTCAGAGTTGTTGTTGTATCAGAATATGGTTTTGGCGGAGTCTGGACAGTATGAAAGGGCTTTACAGCACTTACAGAAATTCCAGTCTCAGATTTTGGATAAGTTGTCGGTAAAGGAAACTTCGGGTGAATATTTATTGAAATTAAAGAGGTTCGTATTACTTTTTATTTTCATTCTGATTTATATTTAAAAGACGCTTGTGTACATAAGTAAACTGTACAGTTTATTTTGTAGGAAGGATTTTATGACATTTTCGCATACGCGCTGCTCGTAAATGAGTATGTTTATTATTTTATGTTTGGAGAAAAACTATTATGAAATAAATTTACGAATCAGTTTATGGTATCACATATCTTTAATGACCAAAAGTGCTGTATAGTGTTTGAATGGAATAACCAAGCGTTTTGTTATTATTGTTTCGCTAATCGTAAAATCCACATAGATTTCATATTGGTAATAATAATACTTCTAATTGTATGAATGAATGAACATTATGTAAATCCAATAGTAGTTTCTCCATTAGTAACTATATATAGTTGACAGACACTGCAAATATTGCCACTTCCAAGCAGTTTTGTGAGCATTACTGCGTTCTGGTTTGGAAGGGTAAGGATACTGGTGAAATTACAGGTACATGGGATTTGTCAACTTATGTCTTAGGTTGACAGGCGCTGTGGCCTTCAGATCTTTGTGGCTTAAAGCACTGAGTGGTACTGCATTTGTTATGGACAGACGTGTCACTTACCATCAAGTGGGCGACTTGTTCGTCCCTTCATTTGGTCTCATAAAAAAAATCACATTGTTCGTTTAGTTAAAAATTCATCAGATAATCTGACCCTTTTGATTAATCAGTTCCGATTTCCTACAGTATCTTACGTGATATTAAAGCCACAGGATTGGCTAATTACAATTTCTCATCACAAATTAACAGTCTAAGTAATTAACCTCCTTTTTTCATTCCATGCCTGATAACCGTAGATTTGAATAAACAGAGTAAATATAAATATTTCAAGACCCCTTTTTAATATGAAATAATCATATCAAATTATTTCAAGTAACACACATATAACGAACGTACTTCAACAGACTAAACAATTCGTAATGTGTTGTTTTGTTTGTTATTTAATAATATCATTCGTCAGTGTTTTGTTGAAAGAGCGTAAGCGACATTTCGTAGATTTTTCAGAGGAGCATGCTTTAGGTTTTAACGACTGTTTTCAAATATCCTGTTTTAACACTTGATTAAGTTTCAAATATTTTAAAACAGTAATGAAAACCTAAAACATGCTCCCCAAAAATATCTACGAAATGTTATGCCTTTTCTACAAACCACGGATGTTATGGATTTAATAAGTCAGTCAGTAAAATAAACGCTAAATACTCTTCTTGAAGTAATACACATAGAGTGGATCTCTCACTGAAAATCCAGGAATGTTCAAAAAGTAAAAGCCAATAAATTCAAAACAAAAGTTTTAGTTAAGTTAGTTTACTACGACATTGTAGTTTTTCTTAAAGTTCGAATCGTATGACGCCTACGATGTTGTTTTTTGATGATATGACTTGCCTGTTTTACTCCAAATTATAAATGTAAATATTTGACTAGATGCTCATCATCAACATTTGTTCAGAACTATTTCTTACTAATTGTCATATCTTGGAATGTTGCACAATTACATAGGAAGTAGTTATATATTTCTCTATGTCAACTATAAATCGCACTATTCATACAATAGCGTATTTTCTCAGAATTGAAAAATAAATTACTCGCTTCCAGTGAGAGATAATTAAAATGCATGTATAGGTTATAGTTTATTATAGACCATTTCCTACTTACCAAATATATTTAAAAATAAAAGAGAAAAATAACTTCATATTTTTGAATAAGGACTATTTTGGCCAGAACTAACTCACGTAAAGCGTGCCTCATTTTCAATTAAGTACGTATCTTTTTGTTGTTTTTTACAATATTCTAACTACGGTTTTATTGACGTGAAGAGAATCAAATTTTACGTTCAATAATGGTATAATCTTGAATTGTTCATATTTTGAGTTATAACACTATCATAATAGCAGTGCGATATGTCCCCTCTTGGCAACTGGTTTCCTTGGAGAGGGTTAGATTATTCTATTACACAGAACCAATACTTCCTCATTCACCGCCTTTCAATATTTATATAGCACCTACTCCATAACATGCTACATTGTGCCACTTTTAAATTTCCAGTAATCTTCTTTTCAGGTACAAAGAAGCGGAGACAGTGTATGAAGACTTGTTAAAACGAAACCCTGAAAATGTGATGTATTATCAAAAACTAGTAGAAGCTAAACAACTAAGTACTCCAGAAGATAAAGTGGCCTTTTATGATGTATATAAGTAAGTATATGACTGATTAGTTTTTCATAGCAGTAGAGCTCCTTGGGAAAGAGTGCACCCAAGGTTTGCAACCGTTCGGTTTTGAAGGGGGCTGGTGAAATTACAGGCACATGGGACTTGCCAACGTATGTCTCAGGGTCACTCACGCAGTGGCAGTGCGCCTCAGATCTTTGCGACCTCTGAGTGGCACTGCAACTGTTATGCATAGCTTACCATCAGGTGCTCGACTTGATCGTCCCGTCACTTAATATTATAAAAAAAGTTTACCACAAGAGCAATGTTATCCAGTATGGTAGTCTTTTTGGTTAGCCAAACATGAGGAACTCCAACCTATAATGATGCTGACATATTCTTTTACTTCCTCCGCTCGAATCTAACTTAAAATTTAGTTTTTTAAAGTGCAAGATTACAAGTGTCAAGCCTTAACTTTCATTCTTTATTTAAAGCACGAAAGTTGTAATAATGACAAAGTTATATTGCTTATGGAGACAGATCATAATACGTTTCAATATTTCAAATGCTGTAATACAATTTACGAGACACAATGGCTATTGTTATATTTTGAGTATATCTTTAGTTGTTTAAGAATTATGAAGACTTAATGCAGTGCTATTTTCTTAACTCGGAAGCTTTACTGTCCTTCGAGTTTAAACAGCAAAATATTATCATTAATGAGAAACCGTTATAAAATCTATCTCATATTGAAACTAGTAATTGCTTGATCAGTTAAGTATTTGTGTCAAGAAAAATGTTGATGTAACGTTGTACTTGCTACGCTGTGTGGAATTTGTTGATTATTCATGGGGATTTTTTTCACAAATCTCCTTCTTGTCAACTTATGTCTCAGGGTGACGGGCGTAGTGGCAGTGCCCCTCAGATCTATGCTATTTATAGCTATGAGAGCTACTGCAACTGTTGTTGTGGCGTGTAGCTTACCATCAGCCGCACGACTTGTTTGTCCCGTTACTAGATATTATAAAAAACCAATAAAGTGACTATATGGGTTGGAGACTTCACCGTTTGCCATCACGAGGTTTTCCTATACTTTTAACGACATCCCGCCACAGGTTTACTTCTGCTCCATTATCAATTTTATTATGAAAACTGTAATTATTCCAGGAAAGAATACCCAAGAGCAATAGCGCCGCGGCGTTTACAGCTGACAGATGCAACGCCTCTCTCGTTCCCGAGTCTCGTCGACCAATATCTTCGGCACGGGCTACATAAAGGCATCCCGCCGCTGTTCGTCGACCTTAGGTACATTACTTTATTATGATTTTCTTCTGTGTATAGTTAACATCACCATTCGTCCCGCTTTTAAGCATGATGTCCCGCTGTCCCCAAAAGAGTTATGTCCCGCTTTGACAAAACAGGACAAGTGAAAATAAATTAAATATAATGGCGCGAAAGCGAAGCATCAAACTAGCCTTGTTGGCCGGTTGTTGTAGTTGGGCGTTCGTACTATGCGTGCTTGTTTTTTGCGGTGACGTGCGGTTGGCACCGGCTGCTGTAGAACAGACTTAAAATCTAAACCTCACGTATTAAAGCAAATTTGCTCGTCCCTAAAAATATATAAAGCTAGCCGAAAAAGTGATAATTTTTTTTGGCTCTGCATTCAACCGAAGCTACAAGTTTCGCAGAGCCATCGCGCAGGTGACTGCAATACTCGGATCGGATTTGTGCTTTGTGCATAGTTAAAAGCTATCCAGGCGTGAAATATCGCTTAACCTTATTAAGGATACCTAGTTTTTTGGCTGCAATTTGTGCTTTGGTTTCGATATTAGCGCCAAACTTAAGGTGTGCGTCCAATGTTATGCCAAAAAGCTCTAGGCTGACGTAATAGGGACAGATTACCCCGAAAAGTGGGGGCTTTTAGCGGAAAATAGGCTTTCGTTTTCGTGGCGTTGAAATCGACCATCATCTCCCCATTGAAAGACGAGACTTAGCGCTTTTGCGCACTGCATCCGTTTCGTATTCGTTCCGAAACCAAGACTATAGAAATCTAGAAAACTGAGACCCACTTCGGATGTCGTTCATGCAGTAAGTCCGATTCGCATCCGAGAAAATAAGAATATCGCTTATACACGTAGAGATAAAAAAATCCCTGTCACATTTCAGACCGACATTTCTCGGATTCGGAAGTGGGGGTCTACTCTCGATCTCCGTCCGACATCCGTCCGAAACAATTACTATCAAATAAGCAATACTCGACCAAATGAAAAGACGCGTGATGCGAATGAAGCTTCATACTTGATACCTGTCTTTTAATTTGGTCGAATATTACTTATTTGACAGTAATTGTTTCGGACAGATATCGAGAGTAGACCCCGTGATACGAAGCGGACTAGTGCTCAAACGCCCTTAGCGCCCAGTTATACAGTAACCACGTCTTCTTCATGTACATTACTAATCGTACGTTGTGTATAAATGTGTGTGTGTAAAGTACATGGCTAATCTGAATTCTACTTACTAGGCAACAACATTTAAATTCCTCGGAACGATACAACCGCGCGGCCCGCCGCGTAGACCAAATTCAAGCCAGCTTCGCATGCGTGCGCGTGACGCTAATTTAAATTAAAACGTAAAAGCTAAATAAATAGAGCGCATTTTGCCATGACAGTTAGACGCACGCGGTCGATGTGCGACGACAACGCGGGGTGAGAGCGATGAAATTCGTGTCGAATAAACGCGTCCTTAAGGTAAAGTTGATTGATGAAATTGAAGAATGGCATTTTAACGAAAGGATAACTACCCTGCTGTCTTCCGTTTCACTAACAATTTTGTCTTCAAATTGAACCCATCGAGACCCCACATATTACATAATATCCAAATTATTATCGTTATTATAATTGTCTGCTGCATTTCAATTGCATGCGCCACTGATGCCATCTGACTAATTCTCACACAATTGTCATTCCAGATCATTATATGAAGACCAAAGCAAAGCAGAAACGATAGAGAAACTAATTGTACAATACATAGAAAACTTAACTAGTACTGGTACGTTCAGTGATGGACCAGATGAAGAAAAGCAACCAGCTAGCGCGTTATTATGGGCGTATTATTATGCCGCTCAACACTTTGACCATAAAAACGATACGGATAAAGCACTGCATTATATTACTGCGGCGATCGACCACACGCCTACGCTTATAGAACTATTTATAGTTAAGGGAAAGATTTACAAGGTAAGAATGCGTAAATATGATATATGATAAAATGAAATGTTCTCTATTGCACCTGAAATTACAGTTAAAATACATTACAGCAACATAGGTATTAATAAAATAATGTGCAACAGGCGGCCTTGTTGCTGTATAGCAATTTCTTCGAGGCAACCTTAGGATAGACATTTGGGATATGCAAAAGTGGTGCAACCATAGAATACCATTACAAGTACATTACATAACAATGATTAATAAACTTATAATATACGTAGATTGAAATATCCATACAAATATTATTAATACATGACAATACATAAAAATGATTAATACAAACATCGAACACTAAGAAACATTCCTTCAATCCGGCTGGATTCGGACCAGCGCCTTTAGCATACCGTACGTGATCGTTGTTTAATCATTATAACAAACTAGTGGAGTAATGTCACAAAAAAATATTGAATATATTTATGACATATTATATATAATGTTTAAAGAATAATAAGAATGTACCAGATCATTAACATCAGACAAATACTTACTGCGCAACCAACTAGAACATAAATGGATTCAATCAGGAACGGTCAATATTATGGTTATAGTTGAAATTATTATTGCATAGTGTTGATTACTTAGAATAGTTTATTTGTTTTTCCGAAATAAGATTCCCCTTAATGTTTCTATTGTGAATCGAAATATTTATGAAGCTTTTATCAAGAGATGAGATTTATGAAGGTGAATGGTACAAATTGTAATTTGCTTCATATGTTCCACTAATACAGGGAAACAAATTCCATCTGTAGTTGGAGGTATAGTTTGATTTATGTATTGTTTTTGTAATCCTCACCAAAACCCAAGAAGCTTATTCTAAAAATGAAAAATGTTCCTCTCCACGTAGTAATATAAAACTTGAGTTCTCCTAGGTATCGAAATATAACAATTTTAATTAATTAATGAATTGGCACAAATTCATATTGCTAAATTAAAATAGAACATAATTCTGCATTGCACTAACGCAGCTGTTATCATATTGAACACAGCTAAAGAAAATAATTTAACAAATCGTCGCTTTACTTTCTCAAACTTCTTATCTTAAAGCACAAAGTTACTGAAATGCAAGAAATGAATTGTATATACAAAGTTTGCAGACTGATTTCACATCACATTTCCTTCATATTACACACTAGCTTTTACTTATTCTGAAAGTAATGCATCTGAATTAACACATTTAAGTTTTGCCATCTGCCATCGAGTATATAACCAGAAATAGAGACGAAATAAGGGCCATATATTCCTGGTAACACATTAGCGATACAGCTCTTATAAATATCAACTCTCGTTTGCACTGAAATATAGACAGGCCAACTACTGACTGTGTGTACGTCTCCGTATATTCCAAAAAATATTCTGTATTTATTATATTAAGATAATATCTCTAACAATGCCGTGCTGTTCTATTCGGTGGTGCGGGAAAAACAGCAAAACATCTAATTATAAAACAAGCGGAGTCACATTTAATCGGTAATTAAATATTAAATATGTAATTTTGCAATTTTCATCATTATAGCAAAGCTCAAGTTAACTGGTCGATTTGAAGTGAAACAGTTGACGGGTGTCCCATTGACGACACCCGTCAATTGTTTCGAATTTGGGCTAGCCAATCGGAGCGCTGTTGTCACAGTAATGACATGGCAGAATAGTTTTCAAACAAATTAAATGACATTTCGTCTCTATTTCTGTTATATACTCTGAATAATCATTCTTTATAAGATACGAGTTTGATAAAGTAAGGCCACGAAATACAATACAATAATAAGACTGGAAGAGATTACAATTAATAAATTATAACTATTTATAACTTAAAGTATCAAACCAAATTAATGAAAGTAATGGTATAAAAATTACTATTGCGTTATCTTAAGATTGCAAGATTTTATAAATGCGGGATAACTTTGAAAATGTATGTATGTGTCCTCGTCAACTTCATTATAGACTCGACATCATTGTAGGTAACGTTATTAGTACAATACGGCACATGAAACATTGCGTATCCTCAAAAAGTCTTTACAGAAGACGTTGGTGAAAGATACATTTTTATGAACATTGTAATAAGTTACTCCTCATATTATTTCAGCACGCAGGAGACCCAGTGTCAGCGTATCAATGGCTAGAAGAAGCGCAAGCGATGGACACAGCAGATCGTTACGTGAACAGCAAATGTTCGAGGTATATGTTACGTGCTGGACACGTTAAACGGGCAGAAGAAATGTGCGCCAAGTTCACGAGAGAAGGTGAGATGTACATGATGAACCCTCCTGTAACATTAATACCAACGTTAAACAACTGAAATAGCAATCTTAATTTCAACCTATAAGAACTTCGAAATGGGAAATATGCAATAGCTATCAAACTGAGTAACTTTTTGTATCAGTACTATCAAACACTTATATTTAGGACCTAAGATTATGACTACTACTGCTAATTACTTCAATGCTTTGTATATATATAATATAATAATAATATATATACAATGCAAGTAAGTTGAGTTTTGTAATATATGCATTAAAAAGTATGTATAAAAGCTTAGGCTCTAAATGAGACCCTTGTGCAACACCCTTAACATTGATATTCACATTACTTCTGCACATGGAAGTATTCCAAAGTATCCCGTTACACTTAATTACAAAGCATGGATCAATAACCTCAAGACGACTGCTAATCTCCACACTACAGATCGTAACTATGAAAAAGGTCAAAATTCCGTCTTATATGTGGGTGGCGCTGATCAATAGCCTGGAAGTAGTTTATATTATTTATATGAATTAATTCCTCTTTAATATGAAATATAAGAAGACAGTTTCTTTTTCCTTGTAAATTCAAATAGTGATCATGAGCTAAAATTGTTTTCTAAACTTTGGCAAATATGCATGTCAATAGATGGCATTGTGTGTCACAAACTAAATAAATGAAGGCTTCTTAATATGTGTAGGTGGCGCTAATCCTGAACAGAATGAAATAATCATAACAATATGTGCAATAAGCGCCATCTTGTGGAGTTGTTTGTTATCAGTAGAAATTATAAAACAAACTAGTTAACGAAAATAGTCATTTGGTACTCGTGGCGATATCTAGTGTACCAATGGGCATTAAATACTCGACTACGCTGGCTTGTATCTCGATTAGCTATCCTCTTGAGTTACTGGTCCATGATTACAAGTAAATACGTGCCATCATTTAGTTAAGACCTCAAAAAAATCTGCAATACACATTGTCAAAGGCCTTACTAAAACCGATTTTTATGTTTATTACAGGTGTCCCCGCGACAGAGAATCTTAATGAAATGCAGTGCATGTGGTTCCAAACAGAAGCCGCTGCGGCCTATCAGCGCTTAGAACAATGGGGAGAGGCACTGAAAAAAGCGCACGAAGTCGATAGGGTAAGTGCGTTTTAAAAAAAAGTCGTTAAAAAGGAACAAAAATCTGCAACAAACACTTGGAAACATTCGTGAAGTCTGTTGGTTTGTTCCGTGGCTTAGTAGGAATAGCGTTTGGCGTGGATTGCTGGAAGACGTTGGTTCGAATCCAACCGGATCGAAGTGAATTTTTTCTAAACGTTGCATCTTTGTTTAATAATTAGAACAAACTATTGAAGTAATTTCATAAGAAATAATACGATATCATTGTGGTAAAACATCCTGACACTTAGAACTTAATTACAAAGAAGCGTTAGTTTTAATTTTCAGCTAGTGTTGCACTCATTTCTTCAATACCAATATTTAATTTTCAATGTTATCTCGTTTCAGCATTTCTCAGAAATAATGGAGGACCAATTCGACTTCCACTCGTACTGCATGCGCAAAATGACCCTCCGTTCGTACGTGGGTCTTCTCCGACTAGAAGACGTCCTTCGCGCCCATCCGTTCTACTTCCGAGCGTCGCGCGTGGCCGTGCAAGTGTACCTGAGGTTGCACGCGAAACCCCTGCAGGACGCGCCGCAGACAACGGAACCCGATACAGGTACAGTCTCTAATTTTATGTATTCTAGGCGCAAGACGTATTCGTCCGTCACTTAGTATTATAAAAAAATGTATAAACATTTTGAATGTATATGAATATCGAGTTCTTAGGTTTTCGCGATTGTTACACATAGGAAATGAAACTATTTTTCCGGATTTAAATAGCGTATATTTGTTTTTTCAAACAAACCAACATTTCGGACCCTTTACAGGTCCCATGGTCACGGTTGACTGAGGTGGTACAGTCTTCAACCAGTTATGTTTAATATTAATGCAAACCACCCTATTTTTTCACTATAGTTACAATAGTTATTAATTAAATACCTTATTTTTAATTTTACAAAGAAAACATTCCAATTTACGCCACATTAAGTTTTACAAATTATTTTATTGAATGAATTTCTGTTAAGTTTAATTTATTATTAATTAATAATAGAAATTAGAATAAACTAAAACATATTAATTAGTACTGCAGTCTTATGTCTTATGTCTAATTGTTACTTTAAATGAACAGAGCTTCCAAATATTAAACTGAAACATTTTATAAAATAATACAAACATTATCGTGTCATTTGTAAATATATTTTCACTTCTCTTTTTTTTTATTCTAATGTAAGTGTGTATTTGACCTCCATCTTACCTGATGGAAATTGACGATGAGGTCCACGATTGAGCTTGCACACCTAAATAATGCCTATTCACTCTCGCCTTGAAAAGGTCCAAACTATAACGCTCATCAGGAACAAGTCTGCAGGCAGGGAATTCCACTCCATAGCCGTTCGCCATATAAATGTGGAAGCGCAACGCTTCGTGCGAATCTTTGGAATATCCACAACATAAGGGCGGAATCCAAACCTGCGCCTAGCCCCGCAATGATGGAAAGGCGGAATTAAATCGTGTAATTCTATCGCACACTCTCCGTGCTATATCCTGTAGAATACCGATAAGCAGGCAACTTTACGGCGGTGTTCAAGGCTCTGCAGCTTGTGTCACCTATAAGCCTCTTAGCACGCTTGTCAATTGAATCCAAGGTGGCCAGTTGATATGTAGCAGAGCCATCCCAAAAATGGCAGCAGTACTCCATACTCTACCGGACTTGTGCTTGATACAGCTGAAGCAACTGTCCCGGTGTGAAGTAACGCCTCACCCTGGAAAGGATGCCAAGCTTCCTGGCTGCATTTTTGGCCATGGATTCAATGTATCTGCCGAAGTTCAGATTGGACGACAGGTAAATTCCATGTAACTGGAGACAGTCTTATTAAAATTTTTCTAAACAACATTAGCGCCGTTCTCAGGTAAATAATTTAAAATTAGTATATTTCGAAAACAGATTTGTGAATAATGTTTAACAAATTAAATTTGTTTTAGAACATTCTTTTTTTCTGTGAGTTATATAGTAATCTTTTCGTGGCTATATAGTAAGCAGGTAAAGTGTTAATCATAGGATTAACACTTTACCTGTGTTGCTGTGCCAGTTTGCAACAACTCATTACCAAAGTCACAAAAAATATCCTACTCACCGTTTATTTTATCGTTTTTGTACCTCGGTTACATAATACGACTGAATTAAAAAACTGTTTTAACTTTCGCTGATTCACCGCTTGATCAAGAAATCTTCTATTTAGCTTGTTTGTTTTTTGTCCTTGTTTTTGTTGGGGTAGGCAGAGGCGTTTCCTGCTTTAACTAGTTATGTCTTTCGCAGTTTGTCGGCTAAAGCCTTAGAATAAGTACGAGGATGTCTATGTGGATGTTCACACGTTTAACTTTATATTAGTGCTTTCCAGTTTATTTTGCTCTGAAATGGTTTTCTATACTGATATACTTTAACCTTTGAATCGTTAACCGCGTTATATAATACAATTGCCTGGTTTAACTTTTCTAGTATTACCATTATCATTATTTGTTTTTCAATAGCTAAAGTCATTGTCAATTTGTCACTAGGCTACATTGTGTGTGTACATTGTGAATTGTGTATAACATAAGAAGGTATTGAATTTTGGCGTGACGCATTAATTGTTCTAGAATTTGTGTTGAAAGTTGTTGGATTTAAAGCTTAAAACTTGCTGCTTGAATTTGTAACACAGTCTTCATTATTTTGTTTCTACGAATTATCTCGAATATCAAAATTTTGCCTCTTTAATATATTTTTTTAATTTATGTTTCTTAATAATGACATAAATATTTCTCAAAAAGTAACAAAGCATAAATCGAGATTGAGGAATTTATTGCATTAAATAAAAAACAATTCATTATTAAAAATTTTAAATTTTATTTTACTTTCTTTGTTTAAACAATAGAATACAAAATCACAATTAATTTGTAATTTTTTCTGTAACAATCGTCGTGTTCGTTACGATTTTCATTCATCATTATCGCGTATCACATTCCTAATAGTTCAAGAATACTGTCATAAATAAATTAATTAATACTAAGCATGCACCACAGTCTCTTAATGTACAAAATTCAATAAATAGAATTTAAAAAAGCGTCCGATTCACAAAACTGTCGCTTGTACAAATAATAGAAAAAGAGTTTGTTAAAATCGTTTAAATATTATGGCAATGCGGTCTTTCCGCTAGTCTTTTCTTACACTACTTAGGACACTATCACATTTGCGCTTATGTACACACGTCGTTGGACGTAACTGTTCAGACTAGAGCTTTGGTTTCACCGTCCATAACCGGGGGTTCTGTATCTTTCTCTTGCCGCTTGTGCCGCTTGCGCTGCTTGTGCTGCTTGCGCTGCTTGCGGTGTTAGGAAATATACATGAGCACCATCGCCTGGTAGCCTGTAAGATACAAATGACCCCGGCTTTCCTTCTCCCGCTGCATTGACAGGCGCTATCCACTCTGCATCAGGATTGACGGGTGGGAGCGGCCTTCGATAGTTCACAGCCGTATCTCCAACCAGCGATGGCCTATTCAAATCGTACTGTTCACCAGCAAACTGTGGTCTTTGCACTTGTTCACCACTATATTGTGGTCTTGGCACTTGTACACCAGAATACTGAGGTCTTTGCACTTTTTCTCCAGTATATTGTGGTCTTTGCACTTGCGTTGGTACTCTGTATTGCTGGGATTGTCTGTATCCAGGGTTTGGGATAGGAATGAACTCGCTGTTCGGATTTACAGGCGGTCGCGGGTATCTTTCATTTACAAGAGTATCATCGAGCAATGACGGTGGCTTCTCTGACTGTATATGTTCCGCAATAGGTTCCGAATCCGGGTTGATTGTTGGTCGCGGCAGACGGTCGTTGACGAGTGTGTCTCGGTCCAATGATGGCGGGTTTGGGTTCTGCTGCTCTACATATTCGTAAGCATATTGCAAGTTGATATTGTTGTCGATCGGTGTTCTAACAGTTCCCAACGGCGGTGTCACAGCTAAACCATTTACGTCGAGCGTGCTATCCTCTATTTTCTTACCAAAAATGTCAAATGAATTCTTCGTAATGTCATCCAAATACCTTTCGTCTTGTTTTGTATAGTATCCGTGACTAATTGGATTTGGGGTAGTATTAGGGTGGTTTACGTGTTGTACCGTTGGAGCTGGCTTTTCGTTTTGTGCAGAAATATGGTTTCTATTTTTTGTAGGACGAACTTCCTTGGTTAATGTATCATCATAATCTTCCTGTCTCGTCTTTGTTTTGGGATAGTATCTGCTGGAGGTGGGTGTCTCCGTAGTCACTTGTACGCTTTCAATCAAGTACTGTTGAGGATAGGCTGGTGAAACCGATGGTGTGATAGCGTTGAACTCGTTTTCTACGTTGAATGGTTTGCTATAGCTCACCATAGGTCTAAATGGCTCGGGGTCCAATTTGGGTGCACGGAATGTTAATTGTTCTGGTCTTGGTTTCGATTGATAACTGAAGTGATAAACTGGTCTTGATGTGATAGCCTTCGGTTTGTGGGCGTGGGTTCTGTGTTGATAGTGAGATTTTGGCCGCTTAGTACTGAACAAATCTATCGTAGATTGTATATCAGCTATTTGTTGGTAGAAAGGGTCTGGTCGTTGCTTCAAATTTTGCACATAAATGTTTTGTGTGTGCGGCTTTTGTATACTAAAGTATTCCTGCGTCAGTGTTCTAGGACCTTGCTTTTGAGGCCATAAGAATAGGGCATCTGCTTGATCTATTGCACCATAGGCTACGTCTACAGCCGGTGCAAATCCAGTTTCAGGATTGACATTCTGTGGTACAGGAGGCTGGTTCGGCACAGTCTTATAATAATTCCTTCCATCGAAGAAAGTTGCTGGCGACGGTGACGTTTTAGGCTGTTCATCGTAGAAATAGAAGGATGCTACAGCATTTTCATTCGGCTTCCTGTACACGGGCTGCAATTTGGTCGTAGGAACTTCATCGTTTTGTGTGTTAGTGTAATACGCTCGCAAAGGCACTGGTGTTGAAGTTACGATATCATTTGTAATCACATGTGACTTATCCGGCACATTATACACTATATACGGTTTTTCAGTTGTTTTAGGATCGTAAACTGGTTCTGGATAATCGTAAATAACAGACACTGATAACGGTTTCGATGTGAGTTTTTGTCGCGTTTTGTATGCAGGCTTTTCTGTTTTGGGTCTGGTAATGATATCGTCTGGTAGATTTTGAAGGCGTACTGGGTTTCTTTGCGGTATTTGTACAATGCGCTGTGGTTTCCGCACCTTTGGTGTCGTAGCGATTTCAACAGTTGGTGGCGTAGTGATCGTGCTTGGTTCCTCTGTGGTTCTAATCGTTTCGGTTGTCGTAGTCGGCCTCGTCTTGTACTTATTTCTGTACAATGACGGTGTAGAAGACGGTTTTACCGTCGGTTTAGGTCTCACGTATGTTGGTGTTGGTGCATTTGTAGTGCTAGGTGCTTCCGTCGTTTTGTCTTCCATAGGAGCGAAGAAATCCGGTGGCGGAGGTAATATGATTCCAGGAACTAATGGCCCAGCTGGGACGCTGCTTTTATAGTCAGCGCGGTAAGAAAAATTGTAAGGCGGCGGATAGTAGATCGAAGGGTCGTCTTCGTCGTAAAGGTCTGACTGGTTGCTCGGTGGTGGTAGAAACGCTGCGCCCGGAGGAAAGCCTTCTGGAAAAGAGCCGTTCATAGATGGGGGGAATGGGTATGGTCCTTCACTCGCATTCCCAGGTAGGAATGGGAACGGAGGAATTGGCAACGGCGTTCCCCCGGCAGTAAAGTTTCCCTGATATTCACTTGGGGGGTAGGGCGGTCCCGGCGCGAAGGGGAATGGCGACGGAGGTAGAGCGCCTTCGCCCGCTCCTTCAAAGAATGGAGGGAAAATGGGCGCAGGGATACTACCGTTCGGCGTGAGGAAGACGAGCGGTCCGTCGTCGGAGAGACGAACTGGAAAGGGCGGTGGTACTTTAGGTTTCTGAGGTAGTTTTACTTGCCTTCGGGGCGCCTCGTAATCATCGATCGGTGGCCAAGGCCTACGCTCGTTTTCTTTTGTTCGTTCCGGGAACGAGCCGCCTGTCAGCACCAGTAAGTGATCTTCTGCTAACCATATTTCGTCTTTCTTTAGCCCTCCGAGATTCTGGATATTGTCTTTTGCCCTCGTCTCAGAGTTTGGCTCGTAACTGACTATACCTGGTCGTTTTGGTGCTTTTGAAAATATTTCATTTTGTATAAGGCCATATTTTCCTTCGGCCACCTGATCGGATAACGTTTTTTTGTCCTCGTCGTCTTCTTTCGTTCTTACAGCGTCTTTGCCCTCTCCGGCGCTGGACATGAGCATGCCGTCGTCCCAAATACCTTGATTCCAGCCCACGGTACCGCCCGACTGGTCCGGCGCGATCACGCCTGCGAACTTTCCCGCTTCAGTTTTTGCATCGTATGAAAGTGAATTTTTCAAGGAGCCATATTCCTTGTCGGGTCGGATTTTCATGTGTCCCCCGATGAGTCGCTTCACAGTACGCTGAGACTCGGCCGTGTTGGAGTCGGTAGGCGGACCGAGGCTGCGATGATCGCGCACGAACGAGTCAGGCGGCAACACGTACGTCGGCACAAGCACACTGCCGCGCGCTTCGCACACCCATGCCAGCGCCACTAGCAGCGCCAGCGCCGCCCCTCTCACCATCTGAAAGTTTGAAAAACATCACTTATTAGACAATAACGCAAATTACCCAACAATTATATCACTTATCTGCACATTAATCAATGAACTTATCTAAGTCGGGTTTTCTTTGTTATTCAAATACGCCCCGTTGTTGTACATGAGCGGGCGAAGTGAAAGGTTTACGGAGACAAAAACGTCGGCCAGTGTTTTCGGCACTGGCGTGCCGCGCGCCACCACCCGCCTTTTATCAAGTTTTACAGAGCGGCTACCTCCGACCGCCGGCATTGAGAATCAAGCGTTTAATTTGAAATTGAATGGCGAATAATGTCCGCGCGGCAGGAAGGCCGCGCCGCCTTTAGCCATTTGAATTAAAAAATAGAACTGTCATGCTTTATCGAGCCGCGTTCGGCTCTAAAGTCGATCTCCTAATTATTCTATTACACACCATTACAAGTTATTTAGCCTCAATAGTTTTAGCGAAATGTTCATTAACTGCAACAACGATATAGTAAACTGGAGTTTTGAAACAACGATCGGATAATTTTTTCAATTTCGATCGGCACGAGCTGTGCAATGTAATGCTGTGTTCCAAGTCACGAAGCGCTGCGCCGCGATTATCACGGTTCTTAGGCAAATCGGGTTTCTTCAAATCTTAACAACGTTTGGTTATTGTGTGTGCCGAGTGGGTGGATGTGACAAAGTGTGACGCACGACGTGAAATTGTTTGAGCGGATTATGTTTTATATTGCAAAACGTACGTTCGCTGTGCTTAATTGCGGCGAAAGCGCTGCGAGGCGAAGGGAATAAGAACGATATCTAGTAGAATAATGGCAGCTGCGGCTGTTAGGGCGGTGAAGGCAAAGTCCCTGGTGTCCGACTGGGCGTGCCGGGGTTGTGAAAGGCACGGTCACCTAACTCGCTCGATTTCGCCTTCGATAAGCTTAGTTAACTGTGCCGGACGTCGAACGCAAGCCTGGCGCCGCGCACAAATAGCTATTTGAAAAGGGAAAACATGTTTATGGTCTGTCCAATCTTGGTCGATTTGCGTCAAACAATGTTATGGATTTTCTATTTCAAATTACATAGATCCAAATAGTGTTATTTATGGCTATAGCGAGGTAAGGTACCCTTCAATAGGGAAATGTAACTGATAAAGTCAGAATGCACCAGTAGTCTTGCAAAACCGTCCAACTCTTAATTGGCTTCGATTGTACTACAATCTAAACGATATTACCACAATAGGTTACGGTGGCCTTTTTACTTTTTAGTTTTCTAACTTGAGATTACGGATAAAGAAACTGTAACACCGTAAGAAAACAACCTTGATTGGTTTGGTTAATATGTAATAAACGATCGAATCCAACTTGTCGCCGACGGCTCAATTGAGCAAAAGTTGCATAACAATTCGTACCAAAACTTGGCTAACAATATATCAATGCAGATAATTGAGTTATGCGTAGGTAATGTGTTGCAATATTTGCACTTGTTACCGAAGATATTAATGCAGATACACGGTATTTTGAATATCGTTTGCTGTGGATCATCTTTCTTTGCATCTCAGTAAGCGGTCGGCCTTGATAAAAATTGTGTCGCGATTGTTTCTTTAAAAAGCGCGGCCCGAGTAGGTTCGCGGTAATTACTTGACATGAGCGATGGAAAGACAACAACGGCCTTGCGTTAGCAAGGTGCCCGATTTTTTTTTGCGGTCACTACAAAACGTGATTAACCAACAAAACCAAAGAGGTTTGGGAGTGTCGCGGTGGCCGACAATGTCTTGCCTTGCGGTCATGATTGGCTCAGTCACAGATTATACAAGAATCGGTCTATTGTTTTTTTTTAATTTATAGGATTCGTTACATGCAAGCTTTCTTAGGTCTCGCATCTACGTTGGGAAACTCCGCTGTGATGCATTGTTGACGATTTGTATTCAGCTCGCCGGCTAACTTTCCAACGGCCTTTGTTTGTTTGAGCTCTGTGACCACACTCGAAACACCAGGACGCGAGTGCTGAGTTTCACTTTTACATGCTTTCTACCTAACACCTATGGATTTTGAAACGATTACACGAAATTTGTTTCAAAAACTCAAAAGCCGTCGGTTTCTGATAGAGTAATTAAGGATAAAGAAAAGCCTAGATCACTATAGTTGACGTAATAACATAGACATGTCTATGTCAGAATAAGGTCTAAGCAGCCATGGGTGCAGTAATTGCATACATTGATCTCCTTGAGTTTGCGGAACGACGGAAAACCAACGCTACCACCATTTATTACCTCGTACCGACCATTTACAATTTACAGCATGTGGCAACAACAACAACAACTGTATTTTTGCCACTCCTTAATGTCCGGGGCTGGTCTGAATGTGGTACAACAGTAACAAGTTATGGCATTGCGCAACTCACCGCGCGAATGAGTTCGATCGACAATCGATAAAGGCTGGCACGTGTCTTAAGTTGTGTTTGTGCCGTTTCGAAACTGTAGCAAATCGCCGCTGACTGTGGCATTGGGACCCTCGAGCGGGACAAATTATGCTATTACAAACTGTCCTTAAAGCACGACGGTCAACAACTTAACGGGTATGTGACACGAACTGCCGTTTATAGCGATTAATCAAAAGATTTGAGCCGAAGTTAACCAGATAGAAATGTAAAGGAGGCGCACGCGCATCATTAGCGCGATGTCAGGGCTGTCAACACATGCTTTGAGTTCGATTTTCAAAGGCACACACCGGAAATTTATCGCGTTGATTGACCCCGGCCAGATGAGGACCATAAATTATTTATGTCCAAAAATTTTTGTAGGATTTTAAAATATGTAAAAATAATAAGCCATAACGCAATTACACGTTGATTCATGTAATTATGTAAATGCTTCTGCGTCTATTTTTGGCTTTGCATTAAAAATGAGCAATAATCAAGATCTCATACAACAATTGTTCTGTAAAGGCAAATGTCAGTGAATGTATCGTTACAACAATAATGACATGCGTATACCCTGATAATACAATACGTCATTCAGATGCACAAATTTGATAAAATTATTGGAATTACGGCATTGTAGCCATTACAAATAAGCCAATAATATCAAAATTGATTGACAACCCTAATAGTGCGCAGACGCAGCGCGGGCGCGTGCCGTCACTGATTGATCTACGGCCTCATTACCCACCTTTATTCCACCTCAAGCGCCCTAACCTCCGCGAATCTTTTGTTTATATTATTACCATTATTCATTAGTTTTACTCTCTTTGGCGTACTGCAAGGCATTGTTTTGGTGCGATATTTATTAATAGTTTATAAGAATAATATGTTGAGCAATGCATAACAAAATCCGGATAATTAATAAATACGCTAATTAAATGCGGCTAATTGAAATTTTAGTGATTTATCATTCTTACTGTTAGAGTTGCGTAGGACTCTTGTACTGAAGAAATTGTTTTTCAATAATGATTTCGACCTTCGAAGAGCTTTTAATGGTAATCCTAATGCTATTTTCATCATTACTACTCTACAGGCAATATCTTCTCTAAATACAGTTGTTATTTATGTTTTTATTGTGTCGACTATAATTTAATGCTGGTTAAACCCCAGGAGAGCGTTAAAGAATTGCTTTATTTGTGTCAATCGGTTTATAAACAACAAATTATCAGATAAACACTTGCACAACGCACGGAAGTGTTGTTGCACCATTTTTGCTAAACGAGATCATTATTATTCAATTTTCGTTCTACAATTTCGATTCGCTATCGCTTTTATTTAACTTTGTAATGTCTAGTTTAGCAGTAACGATAATTGCGATATTGAATCTGAGAAATGCAAATAGTGTCATGGCTTAGCAATAGTTGTAAGTATCAGTTAATAATTGTCCACTATTGGTCAAGGCGAGCCCATCGTAAACCGGTGTCTTAATACATGCATCATGTCGTCTATACTATACATTATGTCATCTAACACTACGTTATTATAATCTTACATTTGCTTTACAATCTTTAGAGTATTTAGCAATCCAACATCTTTAATCCGACCTTCAATTATAATGTGGGAATTCTTTATAGACTCTAATTTAGATTATCTTTAGAAATACAGTTGCTGTAGTTAACTTTGCACAAATATCTTCGCTTTTATTTGTTGCACAATTTCTACGTTTCACCTTATTGCGTGGGTTTGCTAGTATTAAATTTACTGTTCTATTATCCATATTAGCATGATCTTTTATAGACCTTTGCAGTTCCTTTATCTAGTGTTGCAAATTGTCAGTATCAGGAGTTTATGTTCCGTTTTTCAGTTTGATGTCAACACTGCTAGTTATTGTTGTGGTATGCTAAGGTCGTTGGGTAAAAATCGATCTGATTCTTGTAGTCGTGACTGGTTGTGGTCGTGGCCTGCGCACGCGCCACACCGGGGCCATTTCGTCGTGAAATATCTCCCAACTGCCTCTTATACGGTCTGTCATGTGCGCTATTGTTGGCATGTATGATTAATAACACTATACTTTTGTGTGCACCAAGGTTACTCGTTTGTTACATATTTTGAAATTTCTTTTTCGCCTATTTAGTCACGTTTTTAATCTACACTGCTACAATAATAATCTAATCATTTGACTTGTGGTTAACAATAGGACCACTCTGCATAATGAAAGATAAATTCAGCATCCAGGCAGCGGTTACGCCCTGTGTGTTTGATTTTCAGGCTCTGCTAGATTTCTGCCAGTGCCCAAATACTATGAGCACTGTTATTTAGATTATATTAACTATAGGCGTCTCATTTTGGTTGATTTTTCCGTAATCATGTTGATTGAATACAATATCGATCCCACCCTTGAAAATTTATACAGCCTTCACACCAATTAAATAAGCTTCCGTATTTGTAGGCAATTCTTCTACATCGTTCTAAATAAACAAAAACGTCGTATTATATTATTTATTTGTGTCTTTTACAATAAAAATACTAATATTAACCGAGATAAGGCAGATAATTCCTTAAACAGTGTGTCTAATGTTGAATGAGACCATTCCGCATTG